GGGCGATCACTTAGCCGCTCACGGCGGCGGGGCGCCTCTGGAATTAGAACGCGGGGTGTGTGGAGGGGGGGGGGAGGAGGGTCTGTGTGTTCATTAGACACACGACGGTACCGGCGGCGCCGCAGCGCAGCTCGGCCGCACACTACGGGGGTATCAGCCGCGGCTTACCGGCGATAACCGGCCGCTAAGCCTCCCGGAGCCCACAGTGCTGCTTCTGCTCGGCTCGGGTTCGCGGGTCTGGCAGTGCAGACAAAGTAGTAGTCTGAGTGGGGGCGGGGCGGCGGCAAGCGCAGTGAGTGGTCGGAAAGAAAGGGTATAAAACGACTGGCAGAAACGTTAAGGGAAAAACACAACAGTGGAAACAAAAAGAAATATAGAACATAAGTTAAACAAGGAAAATGTGACAACAATCTGATTATTTTCAAAGTTTGTAAATAAACGTTTCAAGGAAAGCGTTTTTCTATAAAGTTCTCTACACATCGCGCACCTCGCAACGAGAATGCTATGAAGGAAGCACTGGGTGTGTGTTTATCACACGGGGTCGCGCGGTGTCGGCGTTGGAGTCAGTCGCAGCGGCTCGACAGAGCCTGACCCCAAGCAAAACTTTTTGGGGGACGGGTGGTGGCGGGTGGGTCCCCCAGGTGGGTCCCGCCCGCGTAGCCCCGCCAACCGCACAGAGCGCGACCCCTGCGGCCAGGGGGCCCACCCGAGGTGAGTGCCCTGCTTGCCCCCGCTGACTCTCTCTCACTCTCTCTCTCTCTCTCTCTCTCCCTGGCGCTCAGCCCGGCTCAGCTCGCCGGGCCGTAACGCGATAAAGGATTCATTTCCGGAGGAGCATCCCCATCCTAATCCCGCACACCAAGTGTCTGGCGCCCTAAAGTGGCCAGGGATGGAGGCGTGGGGCGGGCGGCCGCATAGCAGCGCCGACGGGGAAAGGCAGCGTGCGCACGAATATCGATGCTATACACCCTGATCTCATCTCTTCATCAGTCGGTTGGAGATATTTTTCTCTCTCCGTCTCTGTCTGTCTGTCTGTCTGTCTGTCTGTCTGTCTCTCTCTCTCTCCCTCTCGCTCTCTCTGTTCTCTCGCCCACTCTAGCTGCTCACTCGCCGATTCTCGGTGCTCGCTCTCTCTCACTCTCCCTCTCTCTCGGTCCTTTGATCGCGTCACGGGCACTCCATCATGCACGCCGTGCCATGCCAAGCCACGCCATGCCGCGCCGCCTGGCTGTATCACAGCCACAGCCGAGGCCAAGGCCAGCAACTGTATGTCACTCGGTGAGCGAGCGAGGGTATTGTGCGAGCTGGACGTATGAGGCAGAGAGAGAGGGAGAGGGAGCAAGAGCAAGGGAGAGCGAGCGAGAACGAGAGAGGGTGAGGGACGGAAGGTGTACACGACGTACACTCATAAAAGGTCGCGGCACAAGTACACACGCGCCTACGCGCCACCCGGTCCCTAGTTTGGCAATGTGAGAGAGGGAGAGGGGGGGGGGGGTGAGCTGCGTGCCGCCAACAGTAAAGTAAACGAAACAAAGGAGAAGCTTTCCCTGCTCGCTGCTTGTATGGGGCAGAGGTTGCTGCTTGAGGGCTTGAGAGGAGTTTGGAGGAGTGTTTTGTCGTTGACATCGCGGAATAACCAATCAGGCACGTAGAGGGGCAGAAGGAGGGGATTTTAAGCTTAAAAAAAACAACAGACGATCCTCCTAACACATAGGCATGAGTATTCACATCGCACAGTGCCAAAAAGACGTCTTTTTACCAAAACTACAGAGAGTGGCCGTTATTTCGCCCCGTTGGAGCGAATAGGTAAACTAGCCCGGATTCCACGAGTATGTGGCCGCGTTTCCTATTCGCACAGGTCCCTTAGGAAGTCGCTGTGGCAAGATTCGATTGAATTTGGTTCGTTGAATTGATTGGAAAACCCATCCGCGCGAGGCGGCGCGAGTGCCAGAGCATACTCATTTGGTTGAGAGGGTCAAAACGGCATTCTTGTATTATTTTTATTTGTCGTTGTACCCGCCCGATCCCGCCGCGCCCACGCCACCCCTCCAGGGAGGACGTCGTGTATCACACTCGGGCCTGCGGCGGCCGGGCGGCAAATGTAAAATAAAAGGAATGAGATAGAGTAAATTACCAGGGGAATTTAGTAGGCTGCGGATTAGCATCGAGGAAAAAAAAGCTGAGGGTAAAAGACTAAGAAAATAAAAATGTGGGGTATGGGGCTCAGCTGGGAAATCTCGACGCCGTTATTTCCCCCTCTCGGAGTCGTTGTATGGACCCGAGCAGCATGGGGTAAGCCGAGGCGTGCGACAAATTGAATTAGCGCCATGTATCACGCACGCACGTACCAGCTCACACACACACACACACACATGGCGGAGGTCTGAGATTCCCTAACTGCCTCCCGTACTACGTCACCGGGCGTCGCACCACACGCCTGCTACAGCGCCTCCCCAGGACGTGTTCTACGAGCGTTACGTAAACCTGCACAATGTACGTGCAGCATAAATAAAATGCTGGTACACAAAAGGGAATTACTTTTTATACCAGTCCACCAAAATTTCATCGAAAACTTACAATATTTATCGGTTTAATATGAAACTTAACTAGCGAGGAAAGTAGATGTTCATTTTCGAAAGCGGCGAAAGCTACCAGGTCTCCACTGGTAAAACAAGTGTGCAATATTTGCACGCACCAACGTGTGCAAGTTGTGATTTTGCACATTACATGG